CCCTCAAAACATGATTCATTCGTTCACGCCTGTCGATCTCTTTAAACAACCCAGTCTACAGCCTTTCCATAGCTCCTTCGTTCCTCATTACCTGACCCCACAATCCACCCACGTCAGGCTCTTTGTTAACGATCAGTCCTGGTTAACCTCAATGCATTCTGTGTTCTTCCATGGTCAGACAGCCCGGCCCTTTTCTTACAATATCCTTCCGTCTTTCAGCACCGATACTCATGTACAGTTGGCATATTCAGTAACGAATAAAACCCTGTGCCTTCTTTCATCCGTAATCGCCGTCTCCGTCCGTCTCACCCCACCGTGCCTGACTATCTGGCGGTGCCCGAGGAACTGGCAGATAGTGCACTCCTGTCCGCTGTTGGCCCACGGCGCCCTTGACATGCGCGGACGTCCTCTCCTGCCGACTCAGAAATTGTCGCTGGCGATGCCATTGTGGCCGCTGGACACGGCGCTGGGATAACCATATGGACCGGTCGCGTCGTGATCGTTTGCATTCATGCCGTGCCCTTGATTCAATAGTTCGGTGGCATTGTCGGGTTGCCCCCCTGGGTAGCCGGGGGGGCCTGTCGCGGCATTGCCCTGGACATTGCCGGGCCCGACGCCACCCCCATACCCGCCACTGCTGGTAGGTCTGTTCTGGTTCTCGCCCCTTGTGGATTGGGTCTCATCCCAATCAGTTCAATTGTTCAGATTGATTTCCTCGTCGAGCTGACAAAGGAGAGGGGGACAAGACACAAAACTTACTTCGCGATACTTGGAGAGATAGATTTTGAGTGCTTCTGCATAGTTCTCGAAGCCCAACGAAGTCATGGCGAACAGGATATCTTCCCCATTGACCGTCTTGCGCTTCTCCTGTTGACACTTTTCGGACGCTGTGCAACGTTAGCCAAAGCTCCCCCGGCATGAACGGACCGCAAGCGATGATTTCTCAGTAACAGGAAGCTCACATACCTTCGCTGGTGATGAATGAGATGAACTCGCTCACACATTCTTGCATGCATTCTTTCGCTTCCTTGGCGATTTTGGCATTGTCGGGCAAGGCAGTCTTCATGATTCGGGCCACTGGTGCAAAGTTTCGGATGTTAGCATCTGACATTGCTGACATGGAGGAAGACGACGACGATGTTGATCGACCGCCATGGTGCTTGGAGGAGGATGACAATGGTTTGCGTTCATGCTCAGAAGAACTGGAAGGCATCTTGGGGATCTTGTTGTGTCGAGTGAGACGTTGACAGCGCTCTCTGAGTGGTCCAGATGCCGCACCAGTCAGCGCTGAGGAGAGCTGGGACGCAAATCATGGCTTGAGGAGGAGAGAAGCAGCAACGAATGAGACGGTGCTGGCTAAAGAGCAGCTGCAGCGTCGCACATTCGGATTCGCACAGAGCCCAGAAGCAACGTTGCTGGCGCGCGCAAAGATGCATGGCTTGTTACGCAAGGGTCGAACAAATCAAATGCCAACACTCCAAAGACTGTGCGTCTGGTGACACGGTGCCTTCCCCTCCAGTGAGAGAAAAGTGTGTGTATGACCTGCAAAACATCAAGACAAAAAGAAAGACAGAATTTTTCACCCACCATTGGCGATGGGAAGCCATCGATCCTGTTCCTTGACTTCAAAGTCCAGACCGGCACCTTGAGCTCCTTCTTGTTCGCGATCCATATGATCCTGCTCTTCACCAGAATGTGCGTTCTGTTCGACATCGGGTTCCTTGGGTGGGGAGGCCGACATGATGTAGTCCTGTACTCTGGAGGATAGCCGCAGCGGCCGAATTGCAAGGCGAGGATTGTCTGGCTGGCGTTGATGACCACGTCACACTGGGGCGACACCAGTGCAGGATGTCTAATGCTGGCCTGCGTCACTTCCGGCGCAAGAGGTCAGACGATCCCTTCTCCTGCTTTGTTTGTGCCCAAAATGATTACCAGTCGGCACGTTTCCCAGGGCTGACGGGGAACCGGGGAACGATTTAGGATGGGGGATGCGTTGTCGTGCAGGCGAAACCGTCAATTTTGAGACTTGGGACTTTCCGGAAGAAGCGTCGAATGGTTGTGGTGGGATGTGAGGCGGTCTACCACGGGCACGCACAAATGACGGACTTTCGAAAGGCAAGAGGATCTAGTCGCAGCTGAAGCGAGACCCGATCGCTGGAACCTTTGGGAACCCAGCCAGCAGGATCGTGATGCGAGGCGATGCGGCACGCGAGAGAGTGCGCCGTGCGGTGGCTGCGCAGTGATGGTATGCGACTGGCGACTGGTATGGTTTGTGGTGCTGCTGCGCGACTCGAAGGCCGGGACGGACAGCTGCAGATGAGATGCTTGGGTCAGCGCGGTTGCTGCAGGTCTAGATTGTTTGGTCAGTCCATCGGTCAGTGCGCTGGGAACGGGGCTCATTAGCGATACTAGCATTTACAGGCTAGTATCGATATCCTAGGACGGGGACATCTAATGGACCGAGAAAGGGTAGAACCAGATTGAGACATACAGTGGTATGCAATGCGCGAGGCGAGGCGTGCGGGAGCAGACAGATGGTGGGACGAATGATTGTTGTTGTTTTGCCGATGGGAGTGGGCGACGATTGGATGAAGTTCGGATAGCTGTTGAGACTTATTAAGGATCCTATAGTAGAATAGTTAAGGGGCGCGCTGCAGGTGCCAACACGACAAGAGGATGGACAAGGTTGAAAGACGATGGATAGTTGGTGGATGAAAGAGACGTCGATGATGGTTGGATGGATTACGGTTGGGATAGACAAGATGGTGAAGGTGGAGAGACCAGCCAGAAGAAAGCAAGCAGCATCACAGCCAGCAGTAGCAGTAGCTGCTGCGCAGCCGGGCAGTACCTAGGTATTTGGTGGGGTGGAGAGAGAGGGTGACGGCAAGGTGGGAATGCGAGCAAGCCGATGGGGGGCAAGGAAAACAGCAACGTGAGCTCTTCGGGTTGCTAGGGCTAGCCTCCTACTAGCCTGAGTCGGTGGGTTTGCCTAGTGGCTTATGGGGGTATGCCTGGCCTTGGGTGTCTTTCGGGTGCCTGTTCCTCGTCCTACACACCTACATACTGTCACTGACTCACTTGGGGGCCACCTTGCCTGTAGAATGCCCATCACGTAAAGCTGCGTGGCTGCTCATCTGTCCACTACGTGTATCACCTACCTGCCTACTGTAGGTACATACAAGTAGGTACTGCGCGAGTATGTTCAGCCTAGCTAGGTAACCTACCGAGTGCCTTTACTCGTTCGAGGTACTCGTAGGTACCTACGAGTATGTACCTAAGGTGCCTTGGGCCTCAAGTAAGTCTTGCGGAGGGATACTCAGCCTGGTGGCCTCGAACAAACAAAGCCAACAATAATGTCCGCTCGAGATTTTCTCCCTCCTCCCTCCATCACCCGTCTCTCTGACTACTTGCATCATTCTCTTCACCACCTCTTGACCCTCGCTTAGTCTGCAGACCATCTCTCGCCTAATACCTGCAAGCCATCAGCTTCATCTGAACCGTTACTCTGGTATGCTTTCAAATGGGCTTGAATATGCCTTGCCCGCCTTATTTTCCACAATGCAGTTTCGCCCACCATGCCCACCATGCCCACCATGCCCAAGCCACGCCAGACATGTTGACAGCCACCAAACAATTTGCCATCTGAATTGTCACCGTCTCGCATCACCATCAGGGTTCTTGACTCGACATCTGTTGACCCTCTTGATTTCCTCCTAGCCCATACGTAGCCCACCTGTATGGGCCAAAAAAAGACACGAAGCACGGCCGACCCGAACCCTCTCAATCACTGTTGCTTTTCCCGCAGGTCCCGAAGTCGCGGTGAAGACGGCCCACCACCACCATCTCCTCGCGCTCTCGTGGCAGTGGCAGTAAGAACACCCAGCAATCTCAGTTTAACTGCCGCATCCCAGTCTCTTCGAGTTCATCACCGTGAAGTCGGCAAAGACGAGGAGCACTGGCGTCTGCTTCATTTCCCATGAAGTGTGACGGTCACCAACCAGCGGCAAGAGGCGCTGTATCACATGAAGGGGCCATGACGCACCCGCTCCGCCAATCACGGGCATCGACAACGGCGGTGGGCCATCAATCCGAATCTCAAGCCTCACTAACGGGAAATACCTTTGCTGAGTCCGTTCACCCCGTGCATAAGCGCTGTAGCACCTCCTACGAGTCCTCGTACAGCCCCAGAATCCTGGCTTCGACGGCCCATGACGTTGACGAAATCCTGACAGGTGTAATAATTGCACGAAGGCAGAAAAGTCCCCAACAACGGCTGAGCTCCACAAAGTCCGGCGTGAACACTTATTGGGTGACTGCTACAACTCGGCCAGTTCTGCTCTTCCGATCAAACTCATCGCCATCGAGATCGGATATAGTTGCAGATATAGGATTTCAGAAAAATAGTCACATGGTAGGGTGGGGAGCCCGCCTCACGTTGGGCATGCACGCATAGGTATAGACATGGGTTGTGCGCTAGGCCTCCGCCTCAACACTGACCGTCCCAGACTCGTATGATGCAAAGCTGCCGGCCCACGTGCTAGCCTGTTGTCGCGTCCAGGCTCCTGGTATTGCGTGAGTGTGCATGATGCCGAAAGTAGAGGGCACACAGAAATCCGTGCCGTTCACATTCTTCCCCGAAAGCAGCAAAAAATATTTTTAACTAGCTGGTGGAAAGGGGACTTGATCGGTTCCCTCATCAATACCTGGCGGTCATCGAATATATAATTTTCCTTTTGGCAATATTGTAAATAAAGGGCATCAAAACATTTCGGCATTGAAACAAACATGGAGGGGGTATCTCTTCGAAACAACAAAGAAAACAGCACACATGCCGACCCAGACGGAGCCATGCAATATGTTTCACTCGCTCCCAAACAACGCCCGAGCAAATAAATCGAAAAGAAAGTTGCAAAACCAGAAGAAAATCCATCAGCTTTACCTCCAATTTACTTCCATTGGAATCGCGGGATCCCGATCCAGCTCCTTCGAGCAGGAAGCGATCATTCACCAGGGCGCTCTGCGCCAAAGGATCGCGGCGTGTATCTCATTGGTTGCTCGATCGGCTCATATGTGGTCTCTCGAGTGTTGGTTCTTGCACTCCGTGGATGTGGCTCAAGAGTAGCCTGCTCGTGAGGGTGGCGGCTATCATACCCCCACGACGGTCCCATATTCTGAGCAGAGCGGTAATCGTTATCGCCAAGTTCGTATTCTCTCAATGGACCATGCATACGATTGTCGTGTTCAAGTTGTCGTTCTGGAATGTATCGCCTGCTGTCCAAATAACGCGAGCCAGAACTATCCGTGGGGTTGTGATATCGTTCAGGAAAGTCGTCGGCTCGAGGTGCATACCTCTCCGCATTCTGTTCCCTTACTTCTACATATCGTCTTCCGTCGTGACCGTAGAAATACTGAGGTTCGTAAGGAGGCACTGGATATGCGGGGACGAGATCCCGCATATCTTCAAATTGGCGGTCGTAGCGGGCTTGGAGTGCTCGTCCGGGAAGCTCCCTGTATCTATCATCATAAGCCAGCTCCCGAGTAATCTCAGGGTCACGATCTGGTGGCATCGAAGGGCTATAGCGGAGCTGTGCTGGAGGGTTGTCAGCCCACACAGGCGGTCGTTCAAGCTCTCTTAGGGGTGGAGCAGGTCTTTGTCGAGTAGGAGGAGAGATATGGCCCCCGGTGCGGTTGCCCAAGCTCTCCCAGGTCTCACCCTGCTGAGGATACGCATCAATCGGATGCAGTCCCGGTATACTGTGTGGTTGCTCCAAGTCAGTCGGGCGCGTTATCGTGCCAACGCCTCTCGCACTATCCGTGCCCGCATCACCAACCAGAGGACTGAAGTTGTTGAGAAAATTCTCTACGGCTGCATGGGTGGCGGCTTGATGGGCTTCCTCTCTCGATGACTCGAGGTCGCTGGTTGGCGCTCTTGACTCCGAAGCCAATTCCCGCCGCAAAGAGATGTGGCTGGTAGTCTTGCTACCACCAGTCTCAGATGTTCCGTCGACCGAGGTCCCGCCATCTCTTTGTACAGATTCTCCGTACGAGAACCTCGAAGAGCTGTCTCCGTACGAATATATCATGGAGCCGTGGGAAATCGGCCCTGGTCGCTTCCAGGCTTCCCAGCCACGTTCGGTCTCGAAAAGATGAGGGTGTTCTTCACGTCGAGGTGCGGATTTGCCTGAATGACTCCTATCCATCTCGTCGCCAATTTTAGCGCCAGCATGTGACCCTTGGTAGTATTGAACGATAGGAGCGTTCGGGCGGGCAAATTTATAGGGCTGATAACGAGGCCCGTATTCATCTTCATTGGTATATCCGGAGGTCTCAGATCTGGCAATCGAAGAGCCGGCGACGCTACCACGGAGACGTCCTTTTTCAAGCCTTGGAGGGAGACGCCCGGTATTGGGCGAGTCCGTTCTCAAAACACTAGAAGAACTGTTCGGATCAACATGTTGTAATGGGTCGGCAAACCACTGTGATGATGAAATAGGCTGCGGGACATTGTATGGACCTCCAAGCCCGCCCTCAACCGATGATGGCGGGCCGCGAGGAGGCAAACCCAGGCGAGCTTGCTGAGGTGGTTGTGTGCTAGCCATGCTTCCTGCAGCCTGGAGAGCCCAGGGAATGTTCGGATGTGGATCGAAGGGGGGTTCCAAGGGCCATTCGGCTTTCCAGTACACGATGCTGTTGCCGCTACTAAGAGAGCTCGTATGCTTCGCAGCAAAGTGCTGGATGACTGCTTCGAATGCGAAGAGCTTTTGTGTGGTATCACACACGTGGCAGAGAAAAAGTTCTTTTCCGAATCTTTCCGCGTGAGGCTTCACAAATTCTTCATAGACCCATTTCATGTCCTCAAGTTTTAATTTCCTGCAGGCAAGGGACGCCTCGTCTTGGGGAAAGGCGGTTCCTTTGAGCTGGAGCATTCGATCTTCTTGAGCAACCACCTCGTCGAAGCGCTGTCGCACATGACAAAGAACCTCCGCAGCGAACTTGCTTGCAGTTGCCTTGGTCACCGCAGTACCATCCGACCATGTCAGATGTATAAAATCTTGCGCATATTTCTGTAATTTATCTCTTGGAGGGACCTTCAGTTCGATCCACATGTGGCTTGCATTTGCCTGTGCCACGCGCTGCTCTTCCTCCAGTTGCTGGCGCTTTTGGAGTTGTATCGTAGGATCGCTGAGTGAAATTTTGCTCTCTCGATGTTCAGCCTCTGCACGTTGTGCAAGAAGACGCGGTTTCAATATCTCCCAGGCCTTATCGTCGAGTGGGCGTGAAATCAAGATCGCCGCCTGAAACGCATCCATATGCACCAACGTTGACGGCATTATTGGGGGTTCGAGGGCAAGGCAGCGTCTCTCAATATCTTTGCGGCGTTCAGCCCTTGTCTTTGTTGCCTCTTTCAGACTACGTTCAGTCTTTTGGCGCGGGGGACGCCCTGGAATTTGGCCAGATGGCGATGAAGGACCAAGAGGGCCGATAGATGTGAGGGGCTGCTGTCCTGGCGCAACAGGAAAGTGTGGAAGAGGCCATGACTGTATTTGAGCGGCAGGGTGTCTAGAATCTGCACGGGATCACTATTAGTTCTGCTGCGGACGAGAGCATCCAGAAGCTACTACGACTGGAGAGAGAATGAGACAATCCCGAGTATCAAAAAACCAAATCAGATAATCGCTTACCTTCGAGGGTGCCGGGAGTGGAGAGTCCTGAAACCACATTGCCAGAAGAGGGTGTTCCGTCGGCAGAATGCACAGATGGTTGTTGCACGTTGTCGAATGTTTGCATAGGGTCTGCATGATTCGTAAGACTCATCAACGAAGTACCGACACCGTTTCCGCTGGGGCTTCTGGCAATTGGCAACCTGGAATATCCACCTTGGAGTTCCCATTGCTCAAAGCGCGCAGCGTCGGTGTTACTTCGATGACCCAGAGTCTCGAGGCCTTTATACCATTCGGCGACCGCAGCAGCACCTAAAGCCTTTATATCATGGAACTCGGATTGAAGTGCTTCGAACTGAGGCCGGAAGTAGTATTTGACCAGTTCCAGATGAGGGGGTGGTGGCTTCTGCGGGATTACCGTGGATGGAATATAATTCAACCCCTGTGTCAGGATCGCGAAAGGCAAAGCGGGCCTTAGTGCCGAATAAGTAGAGACAATCAATTCTGCATCCTACTGGAGATCAGACACTGCACTGGGTTCAGAGCAAGGATCTTACCTTTATCAGCCTGGGTTGCAGACAACGGCCACAAGTCCTGACTCTAAATGGCCAGATAGGCCGAACACCATCTAATCCAGGCCCGGAATCCCAGAGTTCAGACATCGACAGGGGTTGATTGTGAGTTGTTTTCTTTCCACAGAATTGGCATGTGCGGCCTCGAATAAGTCTCCACACTTCCAGCTCTGTCATTTTGTCCATTGGCTTTGGAAAACCTGGAAGGAACGATCTTCGTGATGCGGCCCAAACAAGGTCCTGACTGCGCATGGTCAAACGCATGGACAGGCTAGATGCAGACTTTTGTGGCAGTAGACATGCGGGATCAAGGAGAGAACGAAAGCAGCGGTTGACACGGATCAACCGTCCAAGAGAAATGGGATCAACAAAAGTGAAAATGTGCTGCAGAACTTCGCCAGGTAGGTCCACCAGCATTGAGGGCCGGCGGATAGGGGCTCGCTTTGGGGGTGCAGGAGAGCTGAGACTCTGCGTGCTGATAGAGTGCTTTCGCCGTTTACTCCGCTCCGTGTCGACGCCCAAGGAAACGGCTGTTGTGGGACGCTCCATAGCCACGGGTCTGTAGTCCAACTCGTGGGCAGAACGGTCTGCAAGGTCGGGAGACCTGGGTCTCTTTCGCGAGCCTTTCCAAGGAGCGAAAGTTGATCCATCGTTGAATTCCATGTCACACAGCTATGGAGACCATTTGCAGAAAGTAAAATAGGAAATGCTCAACAGTCGAAACCTGTTTGAGAAACGAAAATATCAGCGCCAGGAGCTGGTAGCCAAGTGTGCTAGCCAGTCTGGTTCTGATGAGAAGAGAAAGAAAAACATTTCGAGCAGAGCAATTGCTTTGCTCGAACAACAGGCAGCAATGGTGGTGTGGTCGTAAGGAGCACGGTTTCACGGGACTCGTTTTGCCAGAACCTTTTCCTTGTCAATTCTGAAGTTGTCGGCACGACAGAGATCAACAAATCCTGGGTATTTGCTTATAATAGCAACCGGAACTGTTCGATCTCCAGACACGCTTTTCATCGACCAAAACCGTGGGCGTCCGTGGCGGGTGTGGTTGGGAGGATATTCGGACTGGATTAGGAACACGCAAGGTCGAGCTGGTCAGTGGCGTTGCGTGGCAGCGCGAGTCGGCTGTAGAGGTCAAGTCGGAATGTACAAGGCGATCCTAGATGCAGGTCAATGAGCATCAATGATCCCTTGTTGCTGCGTCTAACCTGGGCGCTGTAAACGATTGCGGTGGGGATGGAAAGAGGGCGCAGTTGCGAAGGTAAGAAGGAAGGGAAAGTGCAGCCTGTGGTCCCCGGGGTGCCAGTGCTTGCAACGGTTGAGCTTGGTCACATGATGGTCTTCGGCTTTAGGGGCTTGGCATATGCCATCATCAGAACTGCGAAGCTGAGGGACCCTGTTGCTTCCAGCACCTCGTACTCCAACTTCCAATGGCACTAAGCCACCAGGCAGAGTAAGCTGCCTTTTCATTCTTCATCGTTGCTGTCCACGCTTCTCACTACTGAATCCTATACCCTCCGCAAAAATCTACTGCAAGCGTCTTTCTTTGATATCCTGATTAGATCGCCCAAGCAGCACGCAGTTCCTCTCCCAAAAGACGAGGAGGCAGACGCCCAAGAGCAGCCTGGTCTATTTGGACCATATTGACTCTCCGACCTTTTCTGGGTAGCCATGGCTTCTCTCAACACCTCGACGAACGGCCCATCTATCTCCAAGAGCTATCAGTCAATTGTCAATGCTCCTCCTCCAACCGGTGCCGCCGCAGCCTCCCCTACTTACGGACAATGGGCGGTCTTCTCAGTCTCGGCGCCGCTCGCGAATGCTTTTCAGCAGGACTCGGGCAATAAAGAGAGCGTTTTGAAGGTACAAAGCACGGGAGAAGGCGAGCTTGTTGATTTGATTGATGAATTCTCCGATGGCCGCATTCAATTTGCTTTCGTCAAGGTCAAGGACTCCAACACAGGTCTCCCTAAAAGTGCCCTTGTTGCGTGGTGTGGTGAAGGTGTCCCTGAACGAACCAAAGGTTATTTTACTAGCCACCTGACCACGGTCGCCAAATTGCTGCATGGTTACCACGTCCAAATCACGGCGAGATCAGATCGTGACCTCACTCCAGAGAGCATCATCCAGAAAGTCGCCGATGCCTCAGGCTCGAAATACTCTTCTAGCACCTCTACTGCGGCAGCTCCCCCACCAGTTGCGGCAACCAAGCCGACAATTGCCTCAAAACCTGTCTTCACGCCTACCCAGAGTACCGGGGTTTCAGCTGCCTATAACCCTGTAGCGCGCAATCTGCCCAAGAGAGATGCTGCTTTGGATGAGGATGGTTGGGGTGCGGACGCTCCTCCGGTCACAAGAACTCAGCTGGAAAAAGTAGCGCCAGCCTATCAGCCTACAAAGGTCAACATGAGAGACCTGACTTCACAAAAGCCTGCTCCATCGCCCTTCACTAGCAGTCAAGGGGACGATCGGCCTGAAGTGGTCAGAGGTGCATACCAGCCCATTGGGAAGGTTGACATTGCGGCGATCCGACGTCAGGCTAAAGAATCAGGCAACTTGAAGGACGATAGGCCGGAACCCGTAAAGGGTGCGTACGAGCCGATCGGCAAGGTTGACATCGCGGCCATTCGTGCCAAAGCGCAGAAACCTGAAGACTCAACCGGCTTTTCGCGGCCGCCTCCTGCGTCGAGCCTGTCGACTGGACCTTCGGAAGAATCAGAAATACCCACTCGTTCACTGGCAGAAAGATCAGCGGCCTTTTCGCAAGGGCCTGAACGCCTGACCTCTCTTCCAAAACCTAAAGTGGCCAACAAGTTTGGTGGCGGCTCAACCTTCACTGGGACCAAAGCACCTATTCCCGGTGGTTTCGAGGCCAAACCTGTGGCACCAGCTGCTCCCGTGGGGACGGCGAGTAGAACATTCGCAGATCAAGGTGGGAAAACGCCAGCCCAGCTTTGGGCTGAGAAAAAGGCTCGTGAGAGAGGCATGAGCGGCTCTGGTGAACCCCCAGTGTCGCCTTCTGGTTATGGCGGACAATCCCCGGTCGTCGCCCAGAAGAGTGGGGATAGCGGCTGGAAAAGTGGCTATACAGGCAAGACTTGGGCCCCTGTGCAAACTACGCATACTGGCCGCAGCAGCCTTGGTCAACAAGTGACGGGCGAGGCTATGAAACCGGTCGAGGAAGAAGAGGCTCCAACCTCTGCAATCGGCGGAATCAGCTCGATTCGAGATCGCTTTAGTGGAGCGCCTCCGATGGGAGCTCCAGCATCGTTTGACCGAACACCACCCCCTGCTCCGGAGCCCGATACAAGCAGCAAACCCAACCGTGGCATTCCAATCCCAGGCTTTACCCCGTCGCAACCTAGGGAGGAAGAGGAAGAGTCTGCACCAGCGCTACCTCCACCACCTGCACAACCACGAAGTCCCACCCCCGACGAAGAGCCAGAGCTGCCTCGTGGCTCTCCTATTCGGATCGCCATGCCAGTCAGCGCCTCAGCGGCGGTTACTGACGCGCACGAGGAGCAACTGTCCCCTCCACCCGTGCTGCCAGCAACCTCCATGGCGCGGGCCATCCCTCCACCCGTGGCAAGAGAAGAAGATGATGAACCAGCCCGAGGTCCCGACTTGGGCAGAACAGCGGCAGTGGCTGCGGCAGCCACCACGCTAGGCGCCGCGGCTGTACAGTCTGCTCCAGCCCCCGATCCTGCAGCTGGGGGTGAACGCGCTCGGGCCGAGTATGACTACGAGGCAGCTGAGGATAACGAAGTATCACTGCGTGAAGGTATTATCTTTTTGTTTTCCGAGAGACAGAATCGTTGCTGACCATTCTAGGTGAACTGGTGACGGACATTCAAAAAATCGACCCAGACTGGTGGTTTGTCAAGAATGAGGCAGGACAAGTAAGTCGGCTCTTCCAAGGAAGAGTACAAGTGATACTGATGAAGATTCAGACGGGCCTAGTACCCAGCAATTATCTCACACTCCTGGATGACGATGCTAGCGGTGCTCCTGCTGCTGCCCCTGCGGCAGAACCGATTCCTCCCGCACCAGCTCCGGCAGCTGCTGAGGCTAAAGGAGTGACAGCGACCGCGCTCTACGACTACGAGGCTGGGGAGGACAACGAATTGTCATTCCCCGAGAACGCAATCATCATGAACGTGGTAAGTGTCGGCTTGACAAGGGTGTCCACTTGAGCCCCTACTGACGATGGACCCGTCTAGTCGTTCCCTGATGAAGACTGGTGGCAAGGCGAGTACAACGGGCACACTGGACTATTCCCTGCCAACTATACCAAACTAAACGACTGAATGCGAGGAATGCATGGGAAAATTTTGGCATTCTGAGAATAGACAATCCGTAGATCAAGCGGAACGAAAAAGTAGTTTTTTCTAGCCAGATCCGCAGTCTGTGTCTTACCACATGCAGCACAGATCAAATGACGCAAGGAAAAGAATTTTTAATAGCGGTACCATTGCGAGAACATCGGGCATGGTTGGCAGATGAGCGAAAGAGGGGCGGAGGCACAAATGCGAGTGAAGTGATGGTAGCACCAAGTGGCTGCAAAAAAGTTGGATTCCTTTGGTGGACGATGTGAAGGCGGTGACCAAGAAGAGTTTAGAAACATGCACCTTGTCTGCAGCCTTTCCCAATTCTGCCGCATCCAACGCCTCTTCTTTCCCCAGACTAAAATTTTCATGGTGATCTAAGGTTGACCAGGGCGAAGGAAAAAAAAAAAAACCGACTTGTTCACGCAACAGGGAGAAATTTTTCAAGGAGGCTGCGTAGATCGAATGGCTAGGCGGAGGGTGAAAGATGGTTCTTGGGCGCTTGATGAGACCTAGTAGTTCAGTATTTTCTTGTAGTAAAGCCGACCTCACACATTCACCTCAGTAGTCTGTGTTTTGTATAGCTCCAGAGAGGGAGATCGAAGAAGCAGACAAGCAGGGAGAGAGAAAAAACTGTTATCTCTTGATCCCCCACTGACGTCGGAGGACCCAGATTGCTTTGACTGCAGCTTATCGATTGGATCCCGCAATCTGAAAGTCTCGCGGCCAGCCGCACTTTTTTTTACTCCCCCAGTCAGTGTTTGGGGCGTGTGAGTCGAGCTTCATCTTCTTGAACAATTCTGTTCACGGTGACTGCTTTAGACCTCTCAACCAAAACAACACTATCCTGAGCTGGTTTTGTGCAGCGATCGAGTGGAACACTCGTTCCTCCTCTCCTGCCAACAGCAATCCAGTCAACTGGCTCGACCATAATGGCGGCGACCACGCGAGCTCTTCGCCAGGCCAGCAGCCTTTTGCTGCGCGACTGCGCACCTGTCCCCCGACTCTCTGCACGGTCATTCTCTACTCGAACACCCTCTCTCGCTGTCCGACAACACCTGGTAAACCCAAGAACACCCTCGTGGCAGCAAGTCAAGAGATTCACAAGGTCCACAAAACGTCGTGCTCTGGTACAAGAGGCCCCTCGCCCCGAGGCCTACCTGGAAAGTGGTGCTATTGACTATGGGAAGAACCTGGTCGACGTCAAGAAGGTCATAGTCATTGGCAGCGGTGGTTTGAGTATAGGACAGGCAGGAGAGTTTGACTATTCTGGTACGTCGTCGCAAAGGGCAGACGGTTATGACTCAGTCCATTGCAAAATTCTTCCAAGCAAGGTGGCATGTGGTGGCAGCAGTCTTGGATCACACGCTCACAGCTGCAATAGGGTCACAAGCGTTGAAAGCTCTCAAAGAAGCCGGCGTCAAGTCCATCCTCATTAATCCTAACATTGCGACCATACAAACCGATCACAAGCTCGCCGACGAGGTCTACTACCTTCCAGTCACCCCCGAATATGTGACATATGTCATCGAGAGAGAAAAGCCGGATGGCATTCTGCTCACGTTTGGAGGCCAGACCGGCCTCAATCTGGGTGTCAAAATGAATAAGATGGGTATATTTGACCGCTATGGCGTCAAGGTGCTGGGCACAAGCATCAAGACCCTCGAGACCAGCGAAGATCGGGACCTGTTTGCAAAAGCCCTCAACGAGATCAATATTCCCATTGCTGAGTCTATCGCTGTTGGCACCGTCGAGGAAGCTCTTGACGCCGCTGAAAAGGTTGGGTACCCGATCATCGTCCGCTCAGCCTACGCACTTGGCGGCCTGGGATCAGGTTTTGCAAACAACCCCGAGGAGCTCAGCAACCTGTCATCCCGATCTCTCTCTCTGTCGCCCCAGATCTTAGTCGAGAAGTCCCTGAAAGGCTGGAAAGAAGTTGAGTACGAAGTGGTCCGCGATGCCGAGGACAATTGTATCACTGTCTGCAATATGGAGAACTTTGACCCCCTGGGCATTCATACCGGAGACAGCATTGTCGTCGCGCCTAGCCAGACCCTGAGTGATGAGGAGTATCACATGCTGCGGACAGCGGCGATCAAAATCGTCCGTCATTTGGGGGTGGTCGGTGAATGCAATGTTCAATACGCACTGCAACCCGACGGTCTCGACTATCGCGTTATTGAAGTAAATGCTCGTCTTTCCCGATCATCGGCGCTCGCATCCAAGGCAACCGGCTATCCTTTGGCGTATACAGCTGCAAAAATCGGTCTGGGCCACACCCTCCCCGAACTGCCCAACGCCGTAACCAAGACGACCACCGCCAACTTCGAGCCGAGCTTGGATTATATCGTCGTCAAGATCCCTCGTTGGGATCTGTCAAAGTTCCAACATGTGAAGCGTGACATTGGCAGTGCCATGAAATCCGTGGGAGAAGTCATGGCCATCGGTCGCACATTTGAAGAGTCCTTCCAGAAAGCCATTCGACAAGTCGATCCCCGATATGTGGGATTCCAGGGTGACAAATTCGACGACCTCGACGATGTTCTTCGCAACCCTACCGACCGAAGGTGGCTGGCTGTTGGGCAAGCCATGATCCACGAGAACTATTCAGTGGACAAGATTCACGACCTGACCAAAATTGATAAGTGGTTCCTCTACAAGCTGCAGAACCTCAAAGACACAATGACAGAGATCCAAGAGATTGGTTCTCTTAACGGCATCAAGCACGAGCTGCTGTTGAAGGCGAAGAAACAAGGCTTTTCTGATAAGCAAATCGCCATGTACGTCAAATCTACTGAAGGAGAAGTCCGAGCCCGTCGACAGAAATTCGGTATTCGACCATGGGTGAAGAAGATCGATACGCTTGCAGCCGAGTTCCCCGCCGATACCAACTACTTGTACACAACGTACAATGCATCATCTCACGACGTCACCTTTGAAGACAACGGAACCATCATTCTTGGATCTGGAGTCTACCGGATAGGGTCTTCGGTCGAATTCGATTGGTGCGCTGTTAACGCAACGCTGTCTCTGCGCAATATGGGCCAGAAGACTGTCATGATCAATGTAAGTGAGCTTTTTCCTTGACATGCCTGGACCAGACGCCAAACAGCAAGCCAATGGCGTCGGAAAGACTCTGAAAGAAAAGACTTTCTACTGTACCCGCTGTGATATCTCCTTTGGCACCAAACATCTATTGCAGGACCATGAAAACACTGCCAAACACAAGCAAAAACTCAAGGAATCGAGGAACCCCTTCACATGCTCTCCACGCGACCTTGGCTTCCACAACAAGGGTAACTTGACTCGTCATCAACTGTCTGACAGGCATCATAAAGCTGTGGCTGCTGCCGTTGTCGTGTCTTCGCCGGCGCCGCCGCGTCCTGGGCTCTTGGTCTTTTCTTTTCTTTCCTTTCCTTTTTTTCTTGTATTTATTTTACAAAAGCCTTATACTAACTGTTTTTCTACGGCAAAGTACAACCCGGAGACATTTAGCACTGATTTCGACACTGCCGACAAGCTGTACTTTGAAGAGTTGTCGTATGAACGGGTGATGGATATCTACGAACTCGAGAATGCTTCGGGCGTGGTTGTCAGCGTGGGAGGTCAACTTCCGCAGAATATCGCGCTGAGGCTACAAGAAGAAGGCAAGGCGCACGTGCTTGGCACTAATCCCGTTGATATCGACAAGGCCGAAGATCGCCACAAGTTCTCGCAAATCCTCGACTCGATCGGGGTGGATCAACCCGCGTGGAAAGAGTTGACTTCGGTTGCAGATGCCGAGTCCTTTGCTGACTCTGTGGGTTATCCTGTCCTCGTCCGACCGTCGTATGTTCTATCCGGTGCTGCCATGTCCGTCATCTACACGCACGAAGAGCTGAAGGACAAGTTGGAATCGGCCTCGGCGGTCTCTCCCGACCATCCCGTGGTGATTACTAAATTCATCGAGGGTGCTCAGGAAATTGACGTGGATGCTGTCGCATCAAAAGGAGAACTCATTCTGCACGCTGTGTCTGAACACGTCGAACCCGCAGGTGTTCACTCCGGAGACGCCACTCTAGTTCTGCCTCCGGCCAATCTTGACGAGAAGGTGATGGCTCGTGTCAAGGAGATTGCGCAAAAGGTCGCCAAGGCCTGGAACATTACCGGGCCATTCAACATGCAAATCATCAAGGCAGACGCACCCGGCGAAGAACCTGCTCTCAAGGTCATTGAATGCAATCTCCGTGCTTCACGGTCATTCCCTTTTGTTAGTAAAGTGCTTGGGACCAATTTTATTGACGTTGCGACCAAAGCATTGGTTGATCAGGATGTCCCCGAACCCCAAGATCTCATGGCCGAGAAGCGTGACTACCTGGCTACCAAAGTTCCACAATTTTCGTGGACTCGGCTGGCGGGTGCTGACCCCTTCCTGGGTGTTGAGATGAGCAGTACCGGTGAGATTGCGTGCTTTGGAAAGGACCTGATCGAGGCGTACTGGGCATCGCTCCAGTCAACCATGAACTTCCGTATGCCTGAGCCTGGCGAGGGAATCCTGCTTGGTGGATCCACTGAGCTTCCAGAGCTCCCCAAGATTGTTGAGTATCTTCAACCCCTTGGCTACAAGTTCTATGCGGCAAACCAGAACGTCAAGGAGCATTTGGAGAGGTCCGGCGCATCGGTCGAGGTGATTGAGTTCCCGACCACGGACAAGAACGCGCTACGACAAGTGTTCCAGAAGTACGACATTAGGGGGGTTTTCAACCTGGCAAAGACTCGAGGCAAGACGCTCGTGGACGAGGATTATGTGATGAGAAGGAACGCCGTGGACTTTGGCGTCCCTCTGTTCATGGAACCCAAGGTATGGACAACCCCGTCATTGTAATTGTGTGATGATTGACTAATTCCAAACTTACAGACTGCATTGCTCTTTGCTCAATGCATGAATGCGAAACTTCCTCGACAGGAAGGAATTCCCCCAGAGGTCAGGAGTTGGAGGGAATTTGCTGGTTCGAAGATGATGTAATAAAAACGGAAAGTCGATTCATACACTACACAACGGGGGAGGGAGAATTGGTTAGGTTTGACGTGAGCTGCCTGCAATTGGATCATCCGGACAGCAACTGTGACACAGAACCAAAAAGTCTACAACAGACGCAAAAGTTTTCTAGACTAGAGAGAGGTACAAGAGGCATGGCGCCTGAGGAGGGATGGAAGCACGGAGACACGGATTGTGTGTGGCTATCGAAAAAGTTGTCCTTTCCCAAACAAGAAGGCCATCGAGAGGGAGAGACACAAGATTTCATTCATGCTCTCTGTCTATGTGTCGTGCTGGAGGGGGCAAATCAAAAACCCTTGAGCCTCTGATTTAGATAAGAGATGAGAAGAGAAGAGAGGCATAGACGCTTTAGAGTGCTGGTCAATAGAGTTCCTGGTGCCCAGTGTCTAGTATAAGTATTACTCTGCTCTGCTCTGCTGCGCTGCTCTCTATACCTCCACCGTTTCTCTAGAAAGAAAGAAATCTAGTCCTCTCCAACTCATCGCTGGCTAAGAGGTGGGAGGTAGGTAGAGAGAGAGACAAAGACAGAATACAGGGAGAGACGTCTACACTCCGATTGAAACAACCCATCGAGCCATGTAAGTGTCTAGCCTACAGTAGGTCCCAGGCTACTGTAGGTACACATATTATATATATACTAGATTACTTGACATTCATTCGTCATAGTATAGGTGTAGACCCGAGGATAAATACATGTGTACGTGAGTAAACGTGATACAGGAGGTGCTGTGGGTAGGTCACTTGTCACGGGCTACCCATACAGATCAAAGGGGATGCTACTCAGCCAGGACATGTCGCCGCCCAGATCGAGGTGGAGGTTGAGATCGAAATCGTGATCAAAGTCAGCCATCACAGCGGCGGTTTCGTGGTGGTGGTGGTGGGCTTCGAATATGCCAGTATCATTGACGCCGTGGGTACTCGTCAGCAGGAATGGCATAGATTCTGGGACTGATGCTGGTGCCGGCGCTGGTGCCGTCGTTGTGGCTGTGGCTGTGGCTGCTACAGAGCTGTTTGAGACCGTTGGTGCTGCGGTGTTGCGAGAGGCTGCTGCAAAGTGGCCATTGGCGTTGGCGCTGACACTGGCAGAGCGAGTGGTGGGACCTGTCGTCCTGGGACCACTATCATGAGGTGTTTGGTCATGGTTGAAAGTCCAGCGCGAGGGGTCTCCGTTGACGTTAATGTCGCCGTTTGCAGGTAAGACACTTGACCGTTGCGTATTCCCATTCCCGGCCATGCCACCGTGCTGTTTTCGCGTCACACCGGTCACCCTGTCCTCATTCGATGCCCGGACCTCAGCTCCAGGGAGTGGCTCGCGTCGTGGCGGGATCTGATCGAAAAGCAACGCTATGGCCGCGGCGCAGCGTTTGGCGTGTTTGCCAAAACTGCCGTACCGTTGCAGCGCGGCCGTCGCAGTACGGGCGGCACTCATAATCACCTCTTCTCCACCCGCACCGGCTTCGACGGCCGGGTTGAGTCGAGCGGCGACAAGGACAGTCGCTGCGGTGTACAGGTAGAAGATGCTGTACCACCAAGCGGGCAGTAAGTCGTCGAGGAGCTCCAGGCGGCATTCTGCGTGGACTCTGCCGAACAAGTCGACAGTGTCCAACGCACTCTTCACGCACATGATTGAGCACTGCAGTGCGAGCTTGCGCGCGAGGCCATCTTCACTGGCGGAGAACTCTTGGTCGTTCTGGCTTGCCGTGCAGAAGCGAGACAGGACTGGCCGGAAGAGTAGCGTCCGAATATGGCAGTCTCGGAGGTAAAGCACCTTTGCCTGGCGGCCGTGGATCATGTTCGTGCACCCGAACGACGAGTCCGGGGGGTATTGCAGGTGGAGGGGCAGACGTCTCCTCCAGATCCAGTATTTGCTGTCCATCTCCAGCACCGTCCCAGCTGCTTTTGCGCCCGTGCTGCCGCCGAAATATGGAGAATAGCTGTCTTCGGGGCCAGACGCGTCTACGGATGTGGGGCTGTAAAGTGCTGCAAGCGTCTCGCTCATGTTTTCATATAGCTGAAGAGATTCGATGAAGAAATGGAGGTCAGGAGCCGACGGTTCGAACACGCAAAGGTCCCTGTGGCAGGAGCATTCCCTGGAGCCGGGATGAGGATGAGGCCTAGGCACTGAAGCCGCAGCTTGGGGAGTGATGATTCCGGGACGACCGAGGGTCATGGCCAGCGTTCGGTCCATCAGAACGCAGCCGTGCCAGACTTTTCGGAGGAAGTCATTTGGCGTGCCATTGGGAGTCTGGGCACTGGTGGAGGGCAGGTCGAGCCCAAGGCTTTGAGCGATCCTGATGGCCAAGCTGGTAAACAGCCAGCACTGCTGGGGCTCGCTGGTGCTCTGGAGGTACTGTGCGAGCAGAAGAAAGCACTGGACGGTGTGCACCGAGCGGAACTGCAAGAACTCGAGGTCGAAATGTGCCACGGCGCGTTTGTAAAAGACCTCACCGGAACTGATACGATCTTGGGGGTGGATGGATGAGTCCAAAATGCAGGCAATCGCAAAGATGGCGTTGAGAAGACATGTGAAGCAGACTTCGTCGTCCATTGAAGGATTCCCAGTCCAGAGAGTCTGGTATTTGTCCATAAAATCATCCTTATCAACGAAAGGGTAAAGGGCATCGACAATCCTCCAATATACCTCTAATAGGTGGTCTGCTTGGTGTCTGGGAGGAAGGACGTAGTCAGGGGTTTTGAAACGTCGTCTTCGGGGTGAAGCCGTCGCTATCGGTGAGACGGTTGATGACACTTGCGAAGCGGGATTTGGTGTGGGTTGTTGATCTAGAGCGGCTTTGATACGATTCATGAAGCTCGCAGCGCTCGAATCTTCAACCACGCCACTTTCACCAGGTTTGCCTTCTCCCAACAGTCCCATCATCGCATTGGCGTCGCTATCGTGGTTCCCATCCGACGTCAATGGAGGCGTAGGTGATCGGGCGATGCTTCTAGTTTGGTTCGATTGTCGACCAGACCTTTCCAGTTCATCGATCCGGGACCGCAGGCGCATAATCTCGAGTTTGGAGGCCCCGATACTGCGCGTTTTTCTCAATCCCCAGTCACAATGAGCTGTTGCGCCGTGTCTGCGCTCGCAAGGCCGACACAGTGGTTTCCGCCCGTCGCATTTGATCTTTTTCTCCCTGCATTGATCACACGCCGCAGCAACCTTCTGTCTCTTTGCCGGCCGCTCATTGCCATGCGTGGTTTCCGATTCGTAATCCCGGATCGGGGAAATTGATGCAGGTCCTGCGCTGTCCGCGGCCATGTTACTGCCTAGTCTCAACACAGTTCTCTTCTCTCGAGGCAGCAATGTCGAATAAACAGCTGGTATCTCTTCATGCTGCTTTTCCACCGAATGCACACATTGGACTAAGAAGTTGCACAGGAAAGAGGCGGGGATGTGAGGCTGAGCGGATCAATCGGGAATCCGGAGAATGGATTATCCGAGCTAGCGAGACAAGGCTGAGCTTGAGGGGGCAGGGGTGTTACTCGGTACCTTGCAGGTCACTTTAAAAGCGGCACGTGAGTTCGCGATTCCAATGATGACCCGGAGACTCCAGAAAATTGTCCGCGACACACAAGCTTCGTCCGTCTCTTGTTTGGTCAAGCCATGACTGCTCGGGTCGACTCGACACGCACTCGCCAGAGGGTCAAGCACGACGAGAACCATCATGCCGTGGACAAGAAGCATGTCCAGAATGGAGCAGCGACTTCTCCTGCGGCAAAGCCCGCGCCCTCACCATCCAACACCGCATCGACATCGACCTCAGTAAGCGCATTGCCGTCGATCCTCCAAATCTGGGCTCCGACCCTCATGCTCATATTCGGCGGCTGCTGCTCCAATGTCTATACTCTCGAATCCATCATCCATGCCTCCCCCTCGTCCGGTTCTCTGATTACAGCGTTCCAATTCCTCCTCGTTGCCCTATTCACCCTACCGCGACACTTCTCTCCCCACCGGGGCTTGCGGAACTTCTACCTCAAAGAACGAAACATCCCGATCCGCAAATGGCTGATCTACACGGCCTATTTCCTGACCATCAACATTCTGAATAACATGGCGTTTAAATACCGCATCAGCATTCCTTTACACATCATACTGAGGAGTGCGGGCCCCGTCACCACCATGCTTGCGGGGAGGTTTTGGAAGGGACGCCGGTACTCTGCGCAGAAGGTGGTCGCGGTCATGCTACTTTTCGGCGGGGTGGTGTTGGCTGCGTTTTCGGATACGTGGTCCAAGCAGGTTGATATCGGGGCGGCAGTCGAAGAGTTGGATGATTACCGTTCGACGGCGGAGGCGGCGTCCATGTCCCCCAGACTGCCGGCGTTTTCGTCTCAAGCCCCGGGTTTCGTGCTTCTCGCCTCTGCACTCGTCCTCTCAGCGTGTATGGGCCTGTTTGCCGACGACATGTATGCCACGCACGGCCGATCGGGGGACATCACTGCCGAGACGCTCTTCTACAGCCACACCATCTCGCTACCATACTTTGTGAGTCAAATCCGGCAGCTCTTTTTGGAATTCGTGAATCTCCTGGCCGTCCCAGGCCACGACATCGGCCGCGATCCGTCAAAGATAGAGACACCCACATCTCCGTCTTCCTGGCTTGATAACCCATCTTCTGCTCTCCCCCGCCCGCTCCTGTTACTCTTGCTCAACGCCGCGACGCAACTCCTCTGCATTATAGGCGTGAACCGGCTCTCGGCGCAGTCGTCCTCCCTCACGGTCTCGATCGTCCTCAACATCAGGAAACTCGTCAGCCTTGTCCTGAGCATCTGGCTGTTTGGCAACAAACTCCCCACGGGCGTGGTGATGGGCGCGACGATAGTGTTTGTGGGCGGAGCACTGTACGCCTTGCCTGCGCCTGCGCCGAAGGGGGAAGAGACCAAGTCGAAGACGAAGACGCGATGAATGAATGACCCTGGTCAGGGGCACGTGTACGAATATGGAGCTTGGACCGGGTAGACGGCGTCACTTGCGACTGCTAATACTTTGCTTGACATGTTTTGGGGCCCTGATGCCCAAAGAGCCGGAACGAACCAAAAGGCATATATATAGACTGTGTAAAAACACATAGATTTCTCCAACGAAGACTTTCCAGAGCCTTTACAGAACCTTTCTAGGGCCTTATCCCTGGAAGCTTCCTCTTCCTCTTCCTCTTCCACTCCCGGCACTGGATCCTCTGGACCTGAGATCCTAATGGTGATGGTGATGGTGATGGTGATGGTGCTTACGCGCTTTACAAAGCAGATAAAATCAGAGGGAGAGAGGGAGAGGGAGAGCGCGCATAAAAAGCCTTGATGGCTACTGTTTGGCGCCAACATTGATTACGCTCTTCATCTCTTCTTCTCTTCTGTTCTTTTGATTCTTTTGCATGTACATACATACATCACAAACAGGCGCACACATCTTTGATGCAAAACGAGCCGTCCAATTTTTTCTCCGAACGAGGGGGGGGGGGGTGAGCCTTTTTGTTTTTTGTCTCTTCAAGCCCGTTGTTAATCTTCTTATATCTTTCCAACATATACCACCCTTTTGGGCCCGTCGTCCTTTATGATTCCCCCAAAGATCATACCTGTGCCTTCCGGCCCCAACTGCCGTCCCCAAACTGCTGTCCGGCACCGGCCATGTCCTCCATAACCTCATTAAAAGCCTCTGCCACACTCTGTTTAACCTTATTTCGGTCCCACTCACTTCTCGTCTTCCAGATCGTATCCATCAATACGCTGTTCACTTGCTCCAATTGTTCGACGGACAGACCGCTAGTCTGATCCGCGATTTCAGTATGTAGATTTTCAAGCGCATGCTCCTCGACTTGGATCAAATTGGGGCGAGAAGTCGGTGATAGTGGCGACGTCGGACGTGGAGATGAAGAGGGATTCAGCAGGTCATCGATGCGGCTGGCGTTGGAATGTCGCTGTGACGGCGCCTCAATGGGGGGAGGCATGATCATGGAAGGCGGTGAGTTGGAGTCTTGGTTCGCCCCTTGCGGTGAAGAAGGACGGGCACCTGTAGCAACTTGCGATTGTGAGTTTTGCCCTAACGCCACGTTCAATGTTAGATTCTCGTACATTAGAGAGTATCGCGGGCAGCGAAACAGTTCACAGGGAAGAGGGCAATATCAAGTGAGGGTCGTGTGTACATACCTTGCGTGGACGGAATCTGACTGCCTCCAGCAGATCGTCTCTCGTCGAATGGATAGAGATCAGGGCCTGAATCCTGGTGAATCTCTTGCTGCGTATTATTGGAGGACGGCTTCTTCTCGTTGGGCGATTGAGTTGTGCTAGCATCGTTCTGGAACTCCCCTGGCTGGCTTCCCTGAGGCATAGGAGTGAAGGGTCCAGTCTGGGAGGGCGGCGCGGACAGTCCTGATTCCTTCATAAGCTGTTGGGAGGGTGCGGTGTATGCACTCCACGGTCTTGTTTGGGCAGAGGCACGCGCACCGTAGGAGCTAGTCGTGTTCGTCTGCTGCGTGTCGTTGCTCTTGTTGTGAGACGATGGATGCGAGTCTCCCCTTCCCATAAAAGTGTCGCCTTCCACATCTACTTCGTGGCCATTTGCATGAGACCCATTTGTCAAATGTCCTGAGTGATTTTGACTAGGATGTATGCCGTTCGTAACAATGGACTCGGTTGACTGGGCTTGAGTGGATGTCGCAGCGAGCCGCTGAGCAAAGTCATTGCGGCGATGCATGGGCTCGCCTAACAGAATGGGGCCTGTGTCATTTGTCGTCGTTGTTCCCGAACCCTGAGCAATATTGGTCACATTGGGAGGCGGAGGCATTTTGCTTTGCTCCGCTTTCTCTAGGGCCTCTCGTTCCCGTTCCAATTCTCGTTGGTAAACACGTTCACATTCCGCGGCCAGCGCAGGTTCGTTGACTTCCATGGATCCAATGTCGACCTCGACGTTCGCCAACAGCTCATTGGCCTTGAGCAGTCGATCTTCATCACCAATGGCCTTTGCATCTTTAGCCAAGCGTTTGATATCTGCCAGAAAATCTTTCGGTCGCTTGTAGTACCCATTGCTCAGGCGTTTCTCGATTGTCACAGAGTCCAGGTTGTAATAGAAGTTGCCATTAGACTGATCTATCAGGCCGGGAACACCATGGGCGTCCTTCCCAATCTCGAAAGGCCGGTAGGAAGCTCTGGCCAGAATTTCAGTGTGCAGATCCGACGTCACAGTACCTGGATCAGCTTCGTCGTAGAGGTAGCGAATGTGGCTTTCATCGATCACGCCGGTCCGGAATTTCTTGTATTTGGTCCTGATTTGGTCCATGATGGGCTGTAATCGGATCTTGAGCATGTTCAGAGTTTGACGGTCACGCCTCTTTTGTGCCTTGAGCTCCTCCTTGGTTGGCGGAGGTTTCGGCTTCTCTGGCTCAGGCGGTGCCACGGCAAGTTTTTCCAGTTCACGCTTCTTTCGGTGCTCTGGATCGGGGAAATCATCTGGAGCCGTGCTAATGTAATCCTTGATGCTGCGGAAGAATTCAGACCTTTCTTCAAGATTAGGCTCTCTCAGCTGGAACTGGTTCTTCTTTGAGTAGCCAAAAAACTCGCGGCGCATGTTATCATCCATGTCATCGTAGTCGCCCTCGGCAAATCCAAGTAAAAGAACAGGATCAGTGGGTTTGATGGATCTCAAAAGCCCCACGAAAGTAGATATCACGGCCTGGCCCACGGTGTTGTACCATTCCTGCACATTGGGAATGTAAATGACGCTTGGTTTATGCATTTTGATTTCAGAGAACAGCCTGATGACCGTGGCCTCGGGTGAACTCGCAGTATCGCTGAACAATGTCGGAATATCGAAGGCCTGAACGTGGAGGCCTTCAAAGTGATTGAGCAGTGCAGAAGCGACATACTGCTGCCCCATGCCCAGCTTGCCATGGATCAGCAATCTAGGACGAAAGACTCTGGTGGTCTCGAAAGTTTGTTGCATTTTCTCGCGACCGAAACTGTGACCGTCGGCAGTGTCTTCGAATTGAGCCTCTTCCAAAGCTGTGAGTCTCTTCCGTTGTGGCAGTATCTCCCCCAAGAGCTGGCTGATCTGGTCCAACTGAGACTGAAGCAGCGGCGCCACACTGGGCGGTAGTGGAGCAGCGCCAGACGACGCCGATCGCTCTGAGGAGGGTGTCATCTTTTTGAGAGAAATCATGAAGTCCTTGGGCGTGACCTCAATCTTTCTTGGATCAATGGCGAGTTTCTCGTTCGAGTTGTAAATCTGAGGGTAATGGCGCTGCACTGCATTAAGCGCGGCTTCTGTGCACAGAGCACGCAAATCAGCGCCACCATAACCCTTTGTCAGTTCTGCCAACTCATCCTTGATAGATTCGGGTAGAGGGGGATCCCAGCCCTTTGTATGAATGCCAATGATGGACTTCCTAGCTGCAGTGCCTGGCAAAGGGAAGTAAAACTCCCGATCAAATCTGCCAGGTCTTCGTAGAGCCGGATCAATGGAATCAGGCCGATTGGTGGCACCGATAACAATAACCTGGCCGCGGCCATCCATACCATCCATCAGTGCCAGCAGCGTTGAAACGATCGAAGCATGTATCTGTTCCTGTTTGCTTGACCGTACAGGAGCAAGACCATCAATCTCATCAAAGAATATGATGCTAGGTTGATTCTTTCGGGCTTCTTCGAAGAGTAGCCGCAACTGTCTTTCAGCCTCGCCAACCCATTTGCTTAGGGCATCGGCACCTTTGCGCATATAGAAGGTGACTTTCTTGCCTTGAGAGCTGACACTGGTAGCCAATGCTCGCGCGAGAAGAGTCTTGCCAGTTCCAGGCGGACCATGAAACAAAACCCCACGAGGAGGAGTGATTTTGAACCGCATGAAAATCTCTGGGTAAAGCAAAGGCAAAGCAACCATCTCCTTCAACTGATCGATATGCCCTTGGAGACCCCCTACATTGTCGAAGGTCACATTTTGGTCGACCCCAAGCGGGTCGGCATCTGCGAGGGTCTGCTTGTCCTTGATCTTGCCGAGATTGGCCGGAGTGCCAGCTGTAGCCTGAGCTGCATCGGCGTTGAGAGTTTGTGGGAAGAGGTTGAAGCCACCAGCAGTGGTTGGAGTCATTCCTACTGTACCACCCAATTGTCTTGGTTGTTTCATTGTTTCGTCGTCGCTGCTGTCCGAGTCAACACCTCCTTGAGCCCTTTGCGGGCCTCCACCCAGCACAGGTGGCAGGCCACCGCCACCGCCAAAGGGGCCGTAAGTGTTGAAAAGAGTTCGACTCCAGCCACCACCGCCGGTCTTTCGAGTTCGTGCTGAGGGAGACGGCGCGGCCACTTCTTCCTCCTCTTCGAGTGGGGCGAGATTCCTGAGAAGATCATAGTTGGGCTTTTTACCGCCTCGCCTTCCACGAGGCTCGTAGATGATTTCTTCTTCCCTCGGCCGTCTTGACTTCCTGCCATCACGCTTCAGCTCTGCGACCTCTGCTGCTAGATCGTCGTCGCTTTCTTCAGACCGTTGGCGAGAAGCGGCTTGACTACGGAGGCGCCTCGACCTTCGACCTTGATTCTCGCTTTCATAGTCGTCATCATCGCCGTTCTTTTTGCGAGGAGATGCGTTGGACTCGCTGGAGCTCGACATGTCATCTTGGTTGGCGGTCTCATCTTCAGGATGAAAATCACTGCTCTCGTCCGGCGCTTTTCGTCGACGACTACCCGAAGCCCCTGAGTTGGCTTCGCCTCCAAGAGTCCGTCCACGTAGTCGCTTGGGCGACTTGTGTGGTTCAAATTCAGGCGAGTCTACTTTTCTCTTGGAAGAGCCTCGGGTTAGCCTACCCCGTGCTGGTCTCACTTCATCCTCTTCCTCATCTTCCTCCTCCTCCTGCTCCTCCTCTACGTCCTCTTTCTCAACTTCGACTGTGGCCTCTTCCTGTGTGGCAGCGGGTTCAGGGTTGAAGTCGCCGTCACTCTCAACACCTTCAGGTTCCGCAATGTTGATAATGTCTGAAGTAATGTTCGGTAGCTCTTCTGCGGCATGTTCTTCCATGGTTTGAGGGTCGCTTTCCAAGAGCTCGTGTTGAGACGCCTGTATTTCGAGTACTTCTTCTACTTCCTCTTCCTTGGGTTGTGATTGCGACTCTTCGTCAATGGTGCTTTTCGAAGGGTATTTGAGGCCCTTTCCGCCCTTCATTGCTCTTGGAGGGATACCTTCAGGGTCTCGTGATCCTTCGCGAACAATCTCTACGTGGTTTCCCGAATCGGTCAGTTTCACCAGAGCCTCCTCAGGGTCATGAGAGAGGCGACTGCTTCTCCGTGTGACTGTAGGATGAGGTGCAGATGAGGTGGCCGGCTGATTGATACCGTAACTTCCGCTCCTAGTTCGCAGGCTTCTCGCTGAACGAGCAGGGGTGGTCTTGAGAGTGATGATCAACTTTTTTCGCGGAGATGTTGTGGCTTGGCGACGTGGACGGTCTTCGCCTGAGGAATTGGCAAGTTCATCTTCCTCGTCCTCGGAACTTTCTTCATATTTGTTTGCAGCTTTTTTGGCCGCCCTGCGAACAGGTCGGCCTATCGCATTTGTCTCTATATCGTCATCTTCGTCCTCGTCAGAAAACGAATCCTCGTCCGACACGACTTCGTCCGAGTCACTGTCGACATCGGAACCCGCATATCCTCTCTTGCGCTTCTTGCGAACAGGAGCTCCTCGCCGCCGAGGCTTCGCAGAGCGAGATTTGGAGGGGCCGGCTGCTCGGTCATCATAATCCTCATCATCCGAATCTTCATAGTTGACGACTTCTTCGAGCGTCCTCTTGCTTCCGCGTCCTGCGGGCATGGTGGTGGTTCGCTTTGGGAGGTACTTTGACGGGAGGGGGGTCGGGTTGGGTGGTAGGGTATCTCAGCAAGTTATGTCGCGGCACTGGCTGCAGCACAACAGCATCCCACCTGGCCAACTCGAAGAATTTATGTCTGGTTACGAGCCACGCGGGAAGGGACCAAAGCCGTCTGATTTGTTGAATGATGAATGACTTTGCATGGAGGGATCGCAGCGCGTCAGTCAGTAAGCGGGTCGATGGCGCGATCCAGGGGAGGGATCGAACGGGGGACAGGGCCAGGGATATCAGAGAGACTCCAGTGTCATTTCTGCGACGGCAGAGGATGCACGATCGCCTCCGAGCACTCTGAGCGATGATATTTTGATGGTTTGGTGGGAGATTCGAACCTCTGGCTTTTTGGGGGGTTTCGCAGTTCCCAGAGGCGCAAGGCGTGTTTTGGGGCTAGCGCAGGCAAAGCTGAGAGCCACTCACCGCGCCAAGTCCAGCCAAGACCTCCACTTTTGTAGGGCTACAGCCAATCACGGTCACTGGCGCTGATAAACCCAACAGGCAAGAGATCTCGTCGCGAGCAGCACTCTGGAAGCATCAAATATCAACATGTCTCGATCATCGACTTTTGGTGTCTTAGAAGCCCCAAAACTGTGCGGACCTGGTACCGGAGAGGTATGCGACACCATCGCTGGGCTTTTCACCACTTCTCCCCGCCGCCGCCGGCCGTATCACGCGTGGAACGAATTGTAGGAACATTTTATTCCACCCCAAGCAGTGGCTGCAAAGATCGACGTCAGATCTCGGTTGTGCCTCGCCAGAACCTCCCTGCCGGTTCGTCGGCTGCATTGGCGCCCGCACAGGGCAACGTACTTTTGTGTGTCACGTGATGGACATCAGTCTTCGAGTTTTCTACTTCAATTGGGTTTTATCGATAGATAGTGCTATAGCACCTACGCATGCTCGCTAACGCTTGTTCATTCTAATGATACATATCGGTCTGGGGTCATTGTGTCATCTCTGCAGGCGATTGTACCAGGCCGTCTTCGCCCTCCGCGTCATCTGTTGTCACAGCGTCATCCTCTCCCTCAGTGGCTCCGTCGTCATGCCATAGCACGGAAGCCTGTCTTGTGAGTTCCTCAAGGATACTGCTTTGCCTCCGCACCGGCGACATTGCGGGTTTGAGGAGTTTCTTTTCTGTTGATGCCGAGTTTTCATCGGTCCCAGGTCGCCTCCGGGCGCGTAGGAGAGCCTCCTGGGCCTGTTGCTCAAGGACAGGGTTTGGCACACGCGCGCCGTCGTCAATGGGACCTCCCATTCGCAGCCCCTCCAGAATGACCCTTTCAATCTTCAAGCGATTTGAGATGAAGCGAATCTTTGGCCAGCAGCTGCGCTGCCCAACGATGAGCATTCGATCCAGTCGACGAGGAGTAGGGTCGGTGAGGATATTCCAAAAGTCGCTGACGATCGTTTTGGGCCAGATGGTCACCGTTCCAGAGAATCGTTGTAGCCAAATCTCACTCCAATCCTGACCCAGGGGCCGAGGCAGTAGCTCAAGGTGTCGCAGAATCTTGAGATACTTTTGTAGATCGAGCTTCACCGAGGTCTCAATGGTGGACCCAAGGAATCCTCCACGCCAGCCTCGGCCCTTGCGATGTGTGACTGGCCGACCTGGTGATCCTCGAGGTGAGAAGAAGAACAAATTGATATGCGGGTTGACCTGAGAAACAATGGAGAAGTTGACGTTGAAGTGGATGTTGAGCGCTTTCAAGGGAATATCTGTACGCAAGCTTCCATCTTTCCATTTGTTGCCAAATGAATAGGGCACCAGTTTTCCGTCGTTCATCTTTCGCATTAGCACGATTGGATTGAGAATTCCAGGGACAGCCGCAGACGCAAGCACCGCAGACCAGATGACGCAGTCGGGACTCGTAATGTGGTTATTCAAGATCGTTGGGGAATGGGGATCAGAGGGAACACATGAGACGTTGAGGATGCGGCCAGTTCTCTGATATGCTTCTCGAAAAGTCAACGAGCCCCGGCAGAACCAGCTGCATTGCATCGCCCAGTCAAGCGAATCGAATCTCGCACCAGTACGCCACCATCTGCGAATCCATGTGGCAAATCCCTCGTGACAGGCCCTGATACGATATGCCAATGCCGGTACCAGGAGTTTCTTTAATTCCTCGTCCGTTCTGGTCGCCACCAGGGCCGCAACCAGGGCGCCGCCAGACGTACCGGTGATAATTTCAGGGAGCTGACCTGTGTCAAGCAGGGCTTTGACAATACCGAAATGGTAATACGCAAAGGTCGCCCCCCCAGAAAGGCAGAGTGCCGTGCGCCCATAGTTTAATTCGAGATGCCGGAAGAATGATACCTTTTCTTTGTCGGTGATTTGTTTATTCTCGAGCACGAATCGAAGGCTTCGCTCAACTTGATCAACGAAGGTTTGTATCAGGTCCTTCGTACCAATATAAGTCTCACTGTACAAATGTGGATTCTCCACGCCAACAAAATTGTTCTTGACGCAACTTTCGAGCAGTGACTTCAATTCATTCAATGCCACGAGGCCGCCATCTCCCCCTTGGTGTCTTTGAGACTCGGCTATAGCTCTCCGATGTAGCTCGGCCAGTTGGACGGCGACCTTTTTCACGGTTTGGTGGTTGTAATACGAGTATGGGTCGGAGTGCTTCCACTCCTCATTCCCAAGATACTCGTCGAGACGGTGGGCGGCTTCTTGCCATTCGTCGTAGGTAGTCGCTCGCTGTAGTTCTCTGCGCAGTCTTTCGCGTTCCCCGGTCCATGAAAACACATGCTCGTAAGCGTAGATGTAGAGCCGGGTCAAATTATAAATGATGAAGAGAAACACTATCCAGCCACAGACAATGAGCAATAAAGGATAGTACAGGATCGTATAGACGAAGCCTTCGCGAGTCTCGTCCTTGGATCGCGGTGCCGCTTTCCGTCGGACTCGACTTCTCTTCACACGCTGTCTCACTGGACCCCAATCATTCAAAGCCGTCACGGGCTCGGTACTGGGGGCAGTTAGGGCTTCTGCAAAACTCTCTAGATCTTCGCGTCGAATAAAATCAGTGTCGTAGTCTGGTAATTCGCGAATATCATAGGTGCCTGCAGAGGCTGGCGTTGATGCAACTGCATCGGTCTTTTGTGGGATAGATGTCATCGTTCTGACATTGTCGATGTCACAATCCTAGCCCAAGTCCATTACAGAATCACGAAGGCAGGACTACCACCATAAAAAAGAGAAGATTTGAGGATAAAACAAGGGAGGTTCAAACCGGTGGAGAGATAATGTTAAGGTGGCACGGTGGTTCCACTATGATGATGATGTCTTTTTGTTGGGGTCACCAGGTGCCTGGAACGCCAAAGAAGTCACTGGCATCGTGAGGCTCGCAGAAGGGGCTTGGCATTTGCGCCACTTAAACGGGCAACATGCTAAGAAAGCGCCACACTTGTCAAGCCACAGTGCCACAGTGCCACAACACCTCGACAGCACCAGTGGCACAATACATGCTTTGAACCACCGAGTATATAGCAATGAGCTGGGGTATCGATCTGGCAGATGAGGACCACGATTGCTCAAGAAACCTTGCTGGTACGGTCTATTCTATGCGCGATCATTGTGTACTCATGTATGGATGATATGTCCAATCCAGTTCACGATACGACCAACAGCGGACAGCGAGTGCATCCTAGCAGCGAGATTATGTTTTCGACGAACATTGCTCTTCTTTACACGACTCAATCCTCCTCGATGAATAGTTTTTCGACTGGTTTCACACTCACTCCTGAATTTTTAACGCAGGCCATGGTTTGTATGGAAGCGCGTCGCAAGTGTCGCAAAGACCATTTAACGGCCCTGTCTTCTTAGTTCAAGTGCGGAGCATGGAAAACACCTCTGTATAGACCTCTTCAGCCTCGACGAAGCGATATGGGGGCGAAAATTTATTTCCGAAGTCGTCGTTGAGTAGACGCCTGTGGCATCCCATCCGCGGAAACATCTGATAAGCCTAGATCAAACCGGCCCGGCATTCTAGAACCAGTGAAACATCAAAGTGGTGCCCTGCTAGGAATGTAACCAGGCGTCAATCAGGCAGTATTGTATGTCAGCGCCAGCGTCTTTCTCTCTGTAGGACTCTATGTTGATATCCTGCCTGGTTTATACAAGTAAGGTATGTAGATGGACTTTGCAGTAGAGTGGTTTAAAGGACGCGTGCAAACCGGTAATCTATTGCACCGGGGTGTCGGTCTAGTGGAATATACACAGACGGTGAATCGCGTGAGAGCGGGATCGAGCAACGCCTGAGTCTCGATCAGCCTCACGACGATTTGGGTAAAAGAGCCTGTGTGTATTTCGACCAGCGGATTCAGCCTTCTATGCGGCGGCATTTAAACGTCCTGATCAATCTGACGGCAAGGATCAACCTGAATACCATGAAGTTACCATGGCAAGGACAATATATACGTGATATCCCTTGGGAAGATTGAACTTTTCCCGTTGTGTATCCTGCACCACCACCAAGTCACGCGTCGATGTAAAGTTCAACGAGGGTGCAAAACATGGGGTCGGAATGACCAACCGTACAAATTACGGGGTGTTGTGGGAGGTATTTGTTGTCAAGTTGAAATAAACAACAATCTAAAAAAGTGCCTTTGAGGATATTTGAATGCGCTTGACTTGTTTCATGATGTTAGAAGCGACCCAAAGCGTGTCGAGGCTCTGTACTATATGACGAGCATACTACAGAGTTACCTACTAGAGAGGTACGTAGAGGCAATGACGTAGTGCATAAGTGTGGTTCACACCTTCCTCGTTGTTATCTATCATCAATGATCATCCAATCTCCCCCAATCCCCACGGGTTCCCAACACGTTCCCTTGGACACACCGCTCTTCTTCCCCTCCTCGCATGGCAATATGAGGATTCCATCTCAGCTACCTTATCCCTCCTTGAGAGTCATTAGGGTTTTGATCAACACATTTCTGGTCA